TATAATTACCCTTAAACTATTGATTTTCGTCGAGATTTGTTGGTAATTTTTATTACTTTTTTATTTTCTTAAACAGTTTAATTCGGTTTTGAACTGCATTTAAAAAAATTGAAGCCTAAATTAAAACGTATTTGAAATGGTTGGATTTGATTCAAAAGCACACCATTGACGAATATATGTATTACCACATCATTGATTTTCAAAATGCAATTTCAATTAGCCTTAGTTTAGTACAACTTATTTGAAAATCATTTTTTTCTTGAAACTTATTTTCAAACATGTATTTTTTCAATAAAATAATTTACATGTGGATCCATAATTTTTTCATTCTTTTAACTAAATATTCTCAAAAAAATTATTTTTCACTTCAAAAAATTCATTCCAAATAAACACTTAGCCCTGTGTAAACCACATTAAAATTTTCATTCTCATTTTTCTACACATTTTCAATCACACATTTTTCAATAAAATAATATTTTTCATCATATTAATAAGTTTTTATTATTTTTTAACTACACATTCTTCCTCAATCTACTATTTCAAAATACATTCCTCCAAAATAACGTGATTCAAACACATCCTTAGGTTGATGATTTTGGCTTGTGTCACCAATTTCATGCACAATTTATTCCCATTTTTTTCCACCATACACTCATCGTCAATGGGGCCGTCAAAGTTCTTGGGCTTAGCAGTAGAGCCACGACAAAAAAACCTGTAAGAGCCTAATTTTCGACCACGAAAATTAGTTATAGAGAAAATTACCTAAAATCAGTTGTTTAGTTTGAACTTTTTAAAAATCAGATTTTAATTTCACAATTAATATTAATAATGATATTTTAAATTAAATTAATCTATACCCACGAAATTTCACACGATTCCCAAACCCTACTCTCTCTCTTCCGTCTATTCCCCTTCTCCCTCATCTCCTCCCTTCTCCTCCCCTCCCTCCCGTCTCCACCCTAAGTCCACCAGCAGCAGACAGCAGCGTCAACTCTGCTGTTGTTTTTGCCAAAAGAGTTTTACTCGTTCCTGGAAGCCCACCAAAAGAGTACCTTTTGGAATTTTGGCTCCTTGATCCTCATATTTCTTAGGATTCTTTAAGAAGTGAACAAACTCCATGATTTCCTGCTTTGCTTCATCACAGCCAGCAACATCTTTGAAATAGAACTAGACAAAAGAGAAGGCCAAGTAAAACTTCGAAGATATTTACTCCAACACGGTGGGTCCGGAGGTATAATCATGGGAATGTATCCCCAATGCTTCCTGAGCTTCCACTAATTTTTCTTCAAAAGAATCAACACTGCCAATATTAAAATAATATTGATATTGGCTAGTGCTCCCTCTGGAAGCGGTACTACTAATTGGCCCTTTAATCTCTGAGATTTTGGGTTTTCTTTTTTTGTTTATGTTTGTGAGTTTCAGATTGGAGACGGTGTTGGTGGTGTGGCGGTAAGGTGGTGTT